TATATATATATTTTCTGTTTAATAGAAAAAAGAATTGGAATATTTGTATATTGGTAAGAGAGAAATAAAAAAACAAAAAAAAAAAAAATAGCACGACCAATCGCAGTAGACAAAAAAGATACGCGTATGTATAGTTTGGTTTCATACGAATAAGTGAATAAGTATGTATCTGTGTGTATGTATGTTATACATCTCGGGAACCATGGTGGTGGTGGTAGATTTGGTTCGTTCAAGTGTGAGAGAAAAAGAGATAGAAAGATAGAGGGTCAAATCTATCAAACATTCATCGTCAAATCTGGCGTAGATGTATTTTTTCTTCTTTTTTTTTTTTTAGTTTTCTTTTTTTTTTTTTATTATTCGTGTCGAATTGAAAAGCGACTACTACTCTCCGGGTTGTCGAACGTCAACGATTGGAATGAAGACGTTTCGTTTCGATGTTTTTACGTTGTCAATTGAGTATATATATAAGTGTGTGTTTGTGTATATGAATATATATATTTGTAATTTTTATTTCTGTTTTCTTCGGTTTAGTTGATTTTATTTTAGGAAAACTTCAAAAACACCCTTGGATTCGTAGTTGAGTAAACGAAATAAAATGTATGTTTGTGTGTATATGTGAACGTGTGTGTGTTTGTTGAGAATATTGACATAAATGTGGTTAGAGAAGGAAGATATATATATATAACTATGTGTATGGGAATGTATTTATAAAGGCCCACTTACGTGATCGATATTAATTTCTCCCTTGTACATGAAATCGACGAGTACTTTGATGTCCGAGTATTTGACGTCTCGCATGATTACGATAGGATCCTTCTCTTCATATTGCGACAGGATCGTGTCAAAGTAGGTGCTGCATGCCGATAGGACAACCTATAATGAATAATATAAATATAACATTTTATATATTATTTATAATATATTATATAGTTATATAGTTGTATAATAATTTGTCAAAATGTGAAATTCATATATAATAAATGTATTTATTTTATTTTTAATTATTTCAATCACAATATATGGTATATATAAATATACAATATATTATAATATAGAGTATATAATAATGCATAATTTATTAGAATTACTGTATAGTATAAATATACAGTAAACTGTAATTAAAATATATAACATTATACATTTCAACTTTCAATATTAATATAATTTTCCAAGATATAATAAACATTTCAATACTCTTCTTATAGAAACAAAACAGACAAACAAAAATAATAACAATACTAATAAAAAAGAAATAAAGTATTAATTATAAAAATCATGAATGTTTGTTGGAAATAATACTGAAATATCTTTAGGAAACTTTGATGGATCATTAAACCTACTCGCGTTTTCGTTAAATAGGAACCGTTATCACCATCACTCATTTACCATAAACCACCCTCTCACATCCCACAATTCCCCCATCCCCTTTTACCACCCTGTTTTAATAAGATCCACGTTACTTTGTAATACTGTACGTCGATCATCGTTAATTATCAACGAAATGAAAATGTAGGTTCGAGAAATGGATGCTACTGCTGCTGCTGTCTCTCTCTCTCTCATTGTGTGTCGGATTTGACATTAATATCACATCACAACGTTCGAAATATCGGGACACACATATTTTTAACGTACAAATTTGAATGAAACGTGACAGAATAGACACCCCCAACCTTCCACCCTACCCCACCCCCCATCACTACCACCATTATACACGGTATTCTTTCTTCATTTGGTTAGATACTTTTTAAATGGTATTTTTATAATACTCCATACAAACATCAACCGTGGACTGAATGGTAAACCTTTTTTTGTATATTTTTATTTTTAGTATATTATAATCATATACACGAAATATTTATTTATTTATACATATACACATATATATATATATATATGTATGTGCAAATATATGTATTGTATGTATATATGTATTAATTAATCATAAACATATTTTTGTATTTTGCATATTTATTATTTGCAAATTATTTAATACGTAAATTCAATTTTTCATATGATAAAAGAAAAAAGTATTTAACTTTACGTTTTTTATTTAATTTGCGCGTGTGTGTGTGTGTGTGTTTTTTTTTTCTATTTCTTCTTTTTGGTTTTCTTTTTTCATTAGTAGGGGATACATTTACTTTCATGTTATGCAGGTACAGATTGTAAATATTCCATATAAATATACACAATGTTTAGACTGTGCAATATTACTTGGATTTTCAACATCCATTAATTCAGGAAAGGAAGGGTAACTTTTTCTTTTTTTTTTTTTTTTTT